CCCATGACAAGTAGCTGGAGCTCCGGTTTTAGTGAATAATCATATCTTCCAGTCATGCACATTGTCGGCAGGAAGGTAGAATCAAGGAGGTGAGCATGGATTTCTTCCCTGACCTTACTGAAGCCAGTTCCTGAAGGAAGGAATTTTTTCACAAACTGTGCGCATATTCATAGAAAAGAAACCCAATCGTCAACCTTATTGCAAATCAGACCATTAAAATGCTCTATCAGGAAAAGTACATTTTGTTATTGTAATTCTCGATATCATCCTTCTCTTCATTATGATCAACTTCATAAGCTTTGTCACTATTATTATATTTGAATCACACTCCAGGAAAATCTGACTCGACCGCTCTGTTAAAGCTTACGGAACTGATTAACAGTTATATTTTAATATCACTTCATTAAATATAAGAGTAGGACGAAAATCACTTGAGCTGCAACGCAAAACATTATAGAAACTCGTACAGTAACATTATTATTATCGTATTTCTGACCTTCACTATAATTATTTTCTTTATCACCATAATATTTTTTACGATGAATGAACTTCATCATCAACATCATCATCTTATAGATTATTGTCGACTTCGTCCATGTATTCACTGAAATTACAAAACAATTTAACTATGTATTAGCGCTTAATCAAGTCTGTAGCAATTTTCCTGAGTTAATTAAACGAATACATTAACCCCAAGGCAATGAACCATTAATGAAAGTTTAGAATCTCCCAAAGCACGCAGTGACACAGAGGTGTCAGGTTCAAATCGCAAAAAAGATAAAATTCGTTTTAAGCACTCATCACCCTGAAAAAGGAATTCATCCTCAATGCTGATTTACGACAAGCTAGAGTTTTCTTTCTCCAGAGAAACGGGGTGGCAAGTTTCTGACTTGAAAAAAAATTGGGTCAGGATGACGCTTAGGTGAGGCCGTGTCAGAATGGGTGGTATAAGCAGCTATACTAACTGATAGGAGCGCTTTGCGGATGTGAAATCTGCCTTACAATTTACCTGATAATTGTATATTTAAAGCGAAATTCAGGTAACCCCCGTTGCTGCTGAAGCTGAAAAAAAGGAATACAGTGGTCAAAAATCACGTATGATACGGTCCAAAAAGGTAATTAGTTTATATGGTATAGGCTGAAACAAAATTGTTTTTCATTTCTGACTAGAAGTGTGTGACAACACTGCCAAAGCCGCAACCGCAACACTGCCAAAGCCTCAACCTATATTAAAGTCATCATGTAAACTGAAGTAAACTGAAATATGAAGTCAACAATGCCGAGGCTCTCGTGTACAGGGATAAGTTCAGTGGCAATGCCATACAACTACGGCGTCACAGGCTTGAACTGGACGTTAACATATACATTATAAAGCAATTGATCATTAGGAGGATGTCGACGATGAATTGCCAAAGATTAATTATACGTTCAGGCTTCGTGTCATCATAATAAAATAATTGAAATGCATGAGAAAGGAAGGTGGAATCTATCACTGAGAGAATGACCGTCTTGCTTCACTTTGATGATTGGCTGCTGATATTCATTTTCATATAATCAATCAGAAGTGCCTTAATTTTAAACACAGAAATAAAAGCAGCTATGACAAGCATAATCTGCATCATCCTGTTTCCAACTTATTTATTAGTGATGTTCATTAATCAACCTGGGAAGGAAGAAGGACGAGCGACGCCGACCGAGGCTCTAATGCAGAACCTTTCGATTATGAGTTTCACGCTCTAGCGACCGAATATCCTCCGTCTGAAGCAATGGGTGGTAAATTCCTTGTTTACGGGAATTAACAACTTAGACAAAGATTGAACTGGAAGCAGACCACTTAGATAACAATGTTAACATGCCAACATGCCAACATAAGCATGAAAAATCGCAACAAGCTGACAGTTCGAAAACGGATATAAGAATGAAACCTTTCCATGTGCCACAATACCGTTTTACGGCCCAGACGATAAGAAAACAGGGAAAGAGCACCAAAGCGTAACCAAACAAATTGCTCAAAAATTTTGCCGTCCACCAATGATTAGCAAACATTCTTAGAACGGTCATCGATCTGTCGATTGCACTCCGTGCCCTTCTGAATGACGACACGCCATGAAGCAGCTGCAGGTTTCGGTGAATAGGGTCCATCAGCAAAAGATCTGAAACAAAACCTAAACATGACACTAAGCATAATCATTGACAAAAATAATGACTGCATATCACGAACAATCATACTGCAACGCAGCCAGGGAAACTTGGTGAATAGAGATTAGAGCCTGGAGTTCGAATTCGACTAACAGATATTTTGAGGTAGTTAAGGAAAATCAGTAGGTCAGAAAGCAACATGAAAGCACATACTGTAACAGCCACATATACTGTCATTAAAAAAAATAAGGTCCTCCCGGATGAGATGGCATCAAAAATGACACATTCAAAAACGAAAACGAGAAAGAACGGTGAATATGAGACATGACAGAACAGTAAGGACGCCGACCATTACGAAAGCACAGCAGGTGGACAAAGGTACAGTTTGAAAGAATCATGGTTATTCTATGAAGGCCTGTTTAAGATCATTTCAAACAGATATTTAAGCATACCTCCTTAAAAACAGAAGTGAGAAAAAGTGAAAAAATTACTGTAAAGACTTGAAGCAATGCATCTTACTAAACTTTACCTACCGAATCCAAAAATACAAATCACTTCACCATTAATCAATGAGAGGCGAAGAGTGAAAGGCAAGCAGAAAATTAGTTAGCCACTACCTCGTAAAATGCAGCTGCTATCAGCTAATAATCAGACTTCAATAAAGGAAACCCAAAAGTGTGATAAACGATTTTTTGGACGAGGAACCGATATTTCCGTCCCAGTTCACAATGTTACTTTTTCTTCTCTCCTTAAACTGGAGGCTCAAACTGTGAGAACCTCCACCCCGGACGTATCTGCGGATCTGCACAACTCACAAAGGAAATCATTTACGAAACACAAAACGAAAAATCGACAAACAGCTGTTTTCCCTGACACAAACCATACTCATAGGATTAGTTTATTATATCATGCTGCTTTAATTACTTCCCAAGCTCAAATATACAAACTCTCTCCGGCAATTTCAATGCGAAACGATACGGGGGGTTCGTCTACATCAGTGATCTCGAACACATGGTTGGTTGAAGCATCGAAACTTACTGTTGGGAGGGTCGTCCTCATTAGTTGAAGGGTACAGAAATCAAACGAAAAGCATTCCACTGGATACTGGATCAGGACTAAAAACAGCAACATATAACTAGGCACAACACATGCGCTTTCCTTGATCCCCATAACTCCTTTACCCGCAAACGACATTCCTAAACATGTTTTCAAACATTAAATAAGATTTTAAACAGTCCATCTCAAAAGTATTATTAATACACAGTCACAAACATAGAGCCATCTGTCTGCTATACGCAGAAAAATTCAAATTTATAACAGTCTGTTACAGTGACCCATACAATAACACCGATGCCACGGACAGCCACCATTCCATAGCACAATAACAAGGCATCACAAGTGCACGATCGGCTAGGTATGGCAGCGAACCTACGACCATTATTTAAACGCACCTGTGTTCGACGCATTGCCCCGTCACGGCAAATATTTGTGCAGCAGTCATACAGCTTCGCTGACGAAGGTGGAAACGAGGATTTGAAAATGTGCTGCTTGAAAGCAACTTCGGACAGTGCCATCAGCGATTGCTTTACGGAAGATCGTCCGTGAACAACCGCTAGTTCTAAATTCGTTCGTCTGTCTTTGTGCAGGAAACTCAATTGTTCATGTTGGATTTTCAAATGGGCAGTCGTCCCAACCAGAATATCTCGGGATCAACAACGACCGCGATGTGCCGCTACCATTGTTTTATGTTATTATGTGCAGGTAGCTTACATTTGCTCCTACTATTTATGCAAAAAACTCAAATGTAACACAAGTGCAGCTATTTCGGTGAAAAGGAAAAGCGTCTTTGCTAGTAGTCATTTTAAGAAAAACTTAAACTTTTGGAATGCCTCCAGAAAAAAGGAAGAAACAGTTATTCCTTGCCAAGCGGATCGGCAGAAGGCTCAGAGGATGGCCAAGATTAACCTAGTGCAAATATATGGAAGGAGTTTGTTCCAGACTCCAGCTGTCTTCTGCCGGAACTCAGACTCTTGTACAGGATCGGGAGCGTTGAGAGCATTGTCTGTCGCGTCTTCCTTAACGACCCGAAAAGAGAAGCGGTTATGGAAGACAAGATGAAATTTTTGGAGTAATACATTAAAATCACCATAGTGTATTAATAATAGATTAACAATAAAATTCATTAAATTCATACTTACATTTATTATCGTCTATTGCGTGCCGGTGATCCTGAAAAGAATTAAAATTAAATTTAATGCAATATTCTTGAATTAAAACATTGAAAATTTTAATTTATATAGTATAGTCAACAAATATACCTTCTTGGTAGCCTTCTGGCATGTTCCTGGATTGCCGATAGGTGACAGGTCGCC